TCTCTTTTAATCAGTTTTGGTTTGAAATTTACTTTGTCTTCAAATAAGACTGCTACCCCTGCTTTTTTCTGGGCTCCTGTTGCATGAAGAATTGTTTTCCATCCTTTCACTTTCAGTCTATGGGCTTCTTTTTGCACTAGGTCTGTTTCTTGTATACAACATATTGTTGGGTTTTGCTTCTTATTCCATTCTGCCGATCTATTTCTCTTGATTGGTGACTTGAGGCCATTGACATTGATGGTTATAACTGATATGTACTGGTTTATTATTGTCATGTTATTGGCCTTTTGTTGACTCTTTTTACTTTTTAGCCTTCTCTTTTTAGTTTCTTGCCTTGCCTATTTGATTTGCTCTGTTGGGCCTCCTGGTGTTGTTAGCTTCATTGTCTTTTTCTAGGATATTGTATAGAATTCCTTGTAACGCTGGTTTGGTATTTATGAAGTTTATCAGGTGTTCTTTGTCATGGAAGTATCTTATTTCCCCATCCATTTTGAAAGAGAGTTTTGTAGGACACATCAGTCTAGGTTGGAGGTTGTTCTCTTTTAGTACTTGAAATACCTCACTCCAGGCTCTCCTTGACCTAAGGGTTTGTGTTGAGAAGTCTGCTGTAATTCTGATGGGCTTTCCTTTGCATATGATTTATTTCTTTTCTCTTACTGCTTATAGTATTTTTTCTCTTCTGTTGGGTTTCTGGGATCTTGACTTTATATGTCTAGGTGTAGATTTTTTTATCGTGGCTAGTTGGGGTTCTATATGCCTCACTTATCTGTATGTCTAATTCTTCCCTTCTGTTTGGGAAGTTTTCTGTCATTAATTCTGTGAAGAGTTTTTTTATGTCATTTGCGTTTTCTCCTGTTTTTTCATGAATTCCTATCAGTCTTATGTTATTTTTCTTTGTATCGTCTAGGAGTTGTTGGATTGATTTCTCATGATCCCTTACTGTTTTTAAGAGACCTCTTTTCACGGTCACTGACTGCGATCCTATCTTCTATATCTGAAATTCTGTCTTCGCAATCTTTTTTTTATTCTGTTGCGTACACTTTCAATAGAGTTTTTAATCTCGTGGATATCTGTTTGAATCTGTTTTATGGATTCCATTTCTTTCCTCTGTTGGGCATTCATTGTTTCCATTTCTTTCTTATGCTGAGTCTTCATGGCTTCTATCAT